TATTAGGCATCAAAGACCCAAAGTGTGACTCTATTGTTTAAATACCACTTATGAGGAGATCCCTGTAGTCATATTTATCTTCCAATGACGATCAAACAAAATTATTATGTCAAATCAATGGAAGCTATTCTGGTGTTGTGTTTGGAAAAAAAACTTTTACAGATCACTGCGCATGCGTGAGAGGGCGGGGCGTGAGCTCAGCGGCTGCCCAGTGCAGCGGTTGGTGTTCGGCTGACATCACAAGTGATACGGAGGTTGTGTGGGTCGCACGCTGGAAGCCGGCGGCTCTCAGAGGGGGAAAATGACACAACGGTCTGGATAAATGGCCATTTTTAAAATGAAGTTCTGCCAGCGATGGCTTCTTTTTGTACTATTTCTTCCTTTATCGAGTAAGTATTGTTGTTTTTTACTGTTAGAGTTGTAAGTAAACCATCGGAAATTATCTTCCCGACCATTACTCGGTGTTTTATCTCTTATATTAGCTACATATTTTAAGACGGATCTGTTTTTGACTCGTTCATTTGAAAGTCTTGATTATATTACCGCAACTTTACTATGTGAACACGTTTTGTCAAATTGGATGCTCAGCTTGAATTAAAAATAATTAATAATAATTACTATGTGTTAAATAAGACATGTAGCATGATAATGTGTTCTGAGAGAACTTCAGTTCAGATAAGTTTTGTATAGCACATGTTGTTTAAGGAGCCATAAGTTTATCTTTGGGTAAAATTTATGTATGACAACATATATTTTGACAAAATAAATGTTTGTAATTGTTACAAAAGTGAGATGAGTATCTGTTGAAATTCAAGTAGAATATTTGGCTTAAAACAGCAAATATTTTGAATAAAATTGACAGAATTTAGAAAAAACTTTTATTTTTTATACAATATATGTATTTTGTTTGCATCTATATATACATATATATATATATATATATATATATTTGAAAATGTCTTCATATTTTTTTTTTCGTAAGGTATAATAGTTGAGTTAGTTTGACGAACTATTCGGTCAAGGACCATTATATTTTGTGCATCCTTTTTAGGTTTTCAAATATATCCATCCCTTAACTAAAGTTACCATTCTCTTCCTGTAGGTATTTTGTGTTTTAGTGAGCTGTCCTTCATCACAGAGCCCAGTGATGTGGCTGTATTACCAAAGGCTCCTGCTGTTTTAGACTGTCAGGCTCATGGGCACCCTCCGGTCACCATCAAGTGGCTGAAGAATGGAGTTAAGCTGGCAGAAAGTGAACACATGAAGTTTCTGCCCAATGGCTCCTTGTTCATACCAAAGATACAGCATACCAAGGAGTATTCAGATGAAGGATTCTACCAGTGCCTCTCTCAAAACCGATATGGAGCTATCTTAAGCCAAAGATCACATCTGACTATCGCAAGTAAGTATGAATAGTGAAACAATTGTGCTGGGTTTTTTTTTTCACAATTGAAACCAAAAAAATGATTGATTAGTGTTCTTGTCCATCTTTTAGCATCAGCATGGTACTTAATGGGTTATAAACCTGGAGATGAGAAGCACATGTCCTCAACACTTGTTTTCTCCCAGCAAAAACCTTAAAGTACTGGTTTATGTGTCAGAGCAGTTATATAAGCTTTTAAGAGATAAGTAAAATAGATGGGGAGTCAATCCAAAAACTCGTAAATACTCCATAAACATGCAGTGTTTTGTCTTTTGAGGAAGACCATCGCTCGTCTACATATGAAGGTAATCTGTAAACACCAGTAAAAAGTTTGAAAGTTGTTCAGATGTTTACAGGACAGCATTGTGACAGCAGACTATGGCTTTGTGTGATTGCAGAATGGTCTGCTACACAGAGGAATCTCTGAAAGGCCATTTGCCTTTCAGCTTTTGTTTGGCTTGCCCCCGACTGCCCTGCAAGAAAAGGCTAGATCTCGGGGCATTTGTTTGTCCACATATCAGTGGACAAGACAGCTGTGTCTATTCAGTGAGCCTGGTCTACCGTGGACTCTTTTTAAAGGTCTTAGAAAGGATATCCCATGGCTGTTGTCATGGGGACTAGAATAGACTTTGCATTTTAGTGATTTTGACACTGACAGTGATTTTGTAGAGCTTTAGAAAACTTTATCTTAATGGAAGGCATTTCAAAGCTGTGTTTTTTTTACTTAAATGCAGTTTATGAATATTGATATGTACACAAAAAACATCTTTATCAATCCTCTTGTCATGATTTTTTCAAAATCAATAATTAGTGTTGCCAAACTCCAGGTTTTTATATCAACTGACCACATAAAATCAAAAACAATCCAAATTCAGGTTTGGTCTGGTATCTAATCTCCATCAGTGAAAGGGTTAAAGGTTTTTGGTCATCTGTGGGCGGGGAGTGGAGGATGGGACTCCTCTTTGCTTCCCTTCTGTCCAGAGATCCCAGGGGTCAAGGGTCAGCAGTGGAAAGGCATTGTGATGTCACAGGCCTGCTCCTGCTGTGGGGGAGCCCTGCTGTTGTATCCCCCAGCCCTCAGTTCCTTGTTTCATTAGATCAGACCCTCTGTTGCCCCTTTTGGAAAGTTCTTTGTCATGTGAGGTCTGAGTTTTCACTGCAGAGTTTTTAGTCCTTTGAAAACATTTTTACATGTAGGAACTATGCTTTGTGGTGTGTGAGCCTTAGACTGCATCACTTTACAACTCCTGCATTTGCACACGTTTAATAGTTGTCTCGTCATCGATACTTACAAAACACGTCAATAAAGTCTTGCATAAGGGATTTATTTCACAGAATGTTAACATCAACACAGAAATCTCCCAAGTCTTTTTTTCTTTTCTTATTTTGGAAAAATCTAATGGTCAACTTTTTAAAATCTGGCTTCAGTTTGGGGTAAAATTGACTGGACTGGGGGTTCAGGAGACCTTTGACCCCTTTGGAGAAACCTTTGTACTGCTTGACCTAAACATTGATTTCTTCTCTACAACAGACGTGACCATATTAGCAGATGGACCACACCTACCACCTGCATCACTGACCCCAGCCAGTCATTATTGTAACTTCCTACCAGTTACCGTGCATTTCACAGTGCATACCAGATAACTGTGTTATTGGGTCAAAACGGCAAGTTCATTCTCAAACTGATACATCTGTTCTGATTTAGGATCTTACTTTCATGTACTAATCCCTGAAAGAAAGAAATGCTTCAAATACAGATGATAGGTTAACAAATTGATCCATAAAGAATCTAAATCAAAGGTTTTGATTAGCCCCAAAACAGAATAATCAGAATGTTTGTACGGTATTTAAAACATGACATGAAATTAAAGCGTTGCTCGGTGGTTTAGCTACCTTAAATCTCAGGGGTATAAAACGTGGAGTTTCAGAGGGATGGCAAGAGTATTGATTTTCTAAAACATGTTATTGACATCGTCTCTGAGTGAGGGGGGAGGGAGGGACTTATCACCTTAATGAATTAAGGTCACTGATGATATGGTATTGAGTGTGCTCCACTTAAATGCACATGGGCGAGTTTATTTCTGGAAAGACTTTTTACAATGTGTAAATATAAACTTGTTGGTTTATGGGCGTCCCCAGCCGTTTATTCATTTATTTTGTTCTAATTAGCAGGATCGAAGTGAAACATTCACATATGACTGTGGTAAAAAACATACAGTTTTAGGGTTTATTGACGTAAAACATCCTTTAAAACCAATGTGTGCTGTCATGTGGAGGTCTCAGCAAATTTCCCTCAGATTAGAATGTGCAATGCTAAAAAATAAAATAAACAAAACAAGAGCTACATCTTAAACCTTTGCTACCATCTGTTAATATGTTAAAAGACAATAAATTTAGCAAAAAATAAAATAAAGTATGGCTTGTTGGCAGGGTTGAAGGAATATGACATCATTAGTGAAATTTGCTAATTGCCTCTGAAACAAACAGACTTCTTGAGCATTGTTTCTTAGACAGATGAGACCAAAGAGGAGATGTTTGTTCATAACTCTTTGTATAATATTTGATTTAAAAAACCCAGAAACTCCTCATGCACAGAGGTGGAGGTGTGATGATTTGGGCCTGTTTTGCAGCCATAGGACTTTAGCATTTTTCAATCATTGTGTGAACTCCTCCGTAGACCAAAGTGTTTTAGAGACAAATGTGAGGCCATCTATCTTACAGCTGAAGCTCAGTCCAAACTGGGTCGTGAATCAAGTTTAAAACAGAATTGACAAAAATAAATAATTAAAGGTTGTGTTGTAATAATGTTGCAATAGCCAGAGTCTGTGATGGGATCGTTAGATGTGAAATCCAACTAAACCTCAGTAAACTGAAGAAAGAGTTTAAAGAATCATGAGCCTAAAATCATCCTCAGCAGCAGGAGGGACTGGTAATATAAGGTCATAAAGAAAATTATTGTTTCCTGTTATTGGGGCTAAAGTATTGCATTGTGTGGGTTTAGCACACTGCTTCTACATGTTGGCATTGTTTTTGTGTTGTTGCTTATCTAAAGTTGTATACTGTTTGCAATATACATCTGCTATGAATCAGAGGATGTTTATTATGTTCTGATGTGTAAAACCTGAAATAATGTGTAACTATTTCTTACAATTAAAAAGCTGTAAAATGTGTGCAGCATGAAACAAACAAAAAGTTAAGTTTAAAGTTACATTTTGTTTGAGAGAAACGAGGCTTGTGTTTATGTCCCATTATTGTCTGTCCCTTTCAATTGCTTGCAGTTCTTTTTATGCAAAGTGCATTGATTATTTTTATCTATAATCCTGCATCATTCACTGTCATTCCTAAATTGATCCATTGATTGGGCCAGCAAGTCACAATGAGACACTATCCCTCATGTGCACAAAACAGGTGGTGTCTTAAAAAGATTAATTCTCTCATTGGATCAGAAACATTTATCATAATCAGTTCATTACTTGCATAAGACTAGCATTACACAGTTTCAGAAAGACTAGTTAAGTGAGATTTGTTTTCAGGTGTTATTACTGACAGGTGTGCTTATTTCATTCACAGGGATCACAGGATTTGAAATACACCCTGTGTCCATGGTGGTTTCTGAAGGCTCTGTTGCACGATTTTCCTGTGCAGTCAATTCAACTCCTTCTGCCACCATCACGTGGGCGTTCAACCAAAGCACACTGCCAGTACAAACAGACAGGTGCTTAAACACATTTTCTTTTTTTACTTTTGACAAAAACTTCTTCTTATTTTTGTAAAAAAAAAGTAGTTCCTAAGTATACCCTCTATTTTGTCCCTAATTACAATGTTTTTATGTGCTCAGAATAACTGTTTTGCTCAATGGCGTACTCCAAATTCACAATGTGCAACTTGAAGATGCTGGACAATATCAATGTGTGGCAACTAACATCGGCAGCCGTTTAAAGAGCAGAGAGGCCACGCTGACAGTCAGCAAAGGTACAGTAACTGCAGTAACAGAACGTTTTAACTCCAAATTATTTGTTGTAACATTCTTGCTTTCTTTTCAAGATTCAGGCCCTAAACCACGTCAGAGGCCTCGAATCATTGCTGGACCTCAAAACATCACCACGTCCTTTCACCAAACTGTAGTATTGGAGTGTGTGGCCACAGGCAATCCATCCCCCATCATCTCCTGGAGCCGTGCTGACAGTAAACCCATCGATGTTTACAATGCCAAAGTGCTGGGAAATGGGAATCTGGTTATTACTGATGTTAATTCCAAGCACAGTGGAGTCTACGTCTGCAGGGCCTCTACACCTGGAACCCGCAACCACACTACGGCAGCAGCTAACCTCACAGTTCTAGGTTTCAACAATTCCTTACACCTACTCCTTGTAAAAGTGTTAAATGCAAACTGCCATACAGGTAGTTTTGTGTGGCTTAGTAATTCTAAGCATTAGACCGTGTTCTCATCAGTTTTTGCTTAAACGTGTTTCAGTGCCACCGACCATTGTTGAGATCCCTGAGAGTCAAACCCGTCCAAGAGCGGGCACCGCCCGATTTATGTGCCAAGCAGAGGGAGTGCCATCGCCACGCATCAGCTGGCTAAAGAATGGAGAGGAGGTTCACTTAAATGGGAGGATTAAAATGTATAACAGGTACTTCATATCAGCAGTGATGGTCAGAGTTAAGCACACATTAGTACTTTTAAAAAGACTTGCCTAGATGAAATAAAAATATATCTTCATAGTTCCTGTATGTAGATTTTCTTAATGTTTATTTTTATTTTGCAGTAAATTGGTGATCACCCAGATTATCCCTGAAGACGACGCCATCTATCAGTGCATGGCAGAGAATGAACAGGGTTCTGTGCTGTCTTTGGCCCGCCTCATCGTTGTCATGTCCGAGGACAGGCCCAGTGCACCCAGGAATATCCACGCTGAGACCATCTCCAGTTCTGCCATCTTACTTGCCTGGGAGAGACCTCTCTACAATGCAGACAAAGTTATTGCCTATTCCATCCATTATATGAAGGCAGAAGGTGAGACTAAGATATAAACTTTTTTTTATATTCTCATCATTTGAGCTTGATGACAGTTGGTCCTAAACTCTGAGGGATGGAAGTGTGAGAAGATGCAAGGTCATTGTTAACATCTGTAAGCTACATCACTGTTTCATGCAATCAGCGTTTCCCAGTTGAAGGCCATCTGCTGTCTCTGCATAGAGCAGAGGTCAAGGGGGATTCAGAATGGCAACTTCAGTCAAATAACAGGCTTGGCTGGCCCATTGTCCACTCTCCTGCTCTGCTTCCTCTTAAAGGGACAGGGTCGCTAAGTTTCAGTCTTGCAAACCAATTCAAATAGATTTTTTCACCTAAACCACAAAATATAATGAAGTGAACACATATAAAGTGAAGTTTTTATGTTTAATGGAGTTTCTTTCAATGGTCAGAAAGTATTTATGAGTTTGTACCTTGCATTATATGTTTACTGAAAAGATAAGCATCACTCTTTTTAGACGATTATTCAAGTTATTTGTTTTTTTATGTCAGGTTTAAACAATGAAGAATACCAAGTTGTTATTGGCAATGACACAACCAGTTACATCATCGATGACCTGGAGCCGGCACGCAACTACAGCTTTTACATTGTGGCTTATATGCCAATGGGAGCCAGTCGAATGTCTGACCAAGTTAACCAACACACCCTGGAGGATGGTAAGCACAAAACACTGAGACTGCAAATTATATAATTCTGTTGTGCATTTTAAGCCTGATTATAAAGTGTGTTCTTTATATTTGTTAGGAAACTGTGACCACATGAATGTGATGTATTATGTAAAAATTTTCCCATATTTTTCTGCAGTACCTCTGCGTACCCCAGAGTTAACTCTGACCAGCCACAGTTCTGCAGACATCCAGGTGAGCTGGCAGCCACTACCAGCCAAGATTAGCCGTGGGCGTATGATGGCCTACAGACTTTCCTATCGCACCGCGACCGATGATACTGTCACAAATGTGGAGCTACCACACAACAGCACTGAATATCGCTTAGAGGGACTACAGCCAGACACCATTTATCTTCTCCGCATGGCTGCAGCCACACGTGTGGGTTGGTGCGAGCCCTCAGCATGGACCTCACACCGTACACCCAAGATCTCCAGCAACAAAGGTAAACCTGCCAGAGCCTGAGAACAAAGTGTAGTCATGATTTTTTTAATTGATTTTTTTTTTATGTAAAATCATATTAGATTCAAACATTTGGTAAATAAAAACACAAATAGTGTTATTTGTCACACTTTGCTTATTGCTGTTGGAGTGTGGTTCCCCAGAGTTCATGCAGTGTGTTTGGTATAATAGTAGAGTTTGCTCATGTAGCATTGTCCCACACTCTTTGTGATGGTTACCCAGAAACCTTTGCCCCTCGCTGTCAGTAATTTTAGAGTGGCCTCAGTCACGGATCATAAAGAGGGCCTCAGGCTTCTATGTGGGGGGAAGAATTGCCCATTTTAATGACCCACTGGGAAGGGGGAGGATTTTGTCCTCTAAATCTAAATTTTATGCAAAAAATATTTATGTATACTTAATAATCATATATGTGAATATAGATGCAGAGTACCACATCAGAGATAATAGTTTTTGGATTTAGGAAAATGTATTTGTTGTTAAATATATTTTGGTAATATATAAATAATACTCAACAAATGAAATTGTATTGATCCCACACTTTCTTTCTCTGTCCCCTTCTCGTAGTGCCTTCAGCCCCAGTTCTTCAGCTCGAGCCTCTAAACTGCACTTCTATTGTGGCTCGCTGGCAGATCTCCCCAGATTCAGTTGCTGTTCAGGGTTTCCGGGTGTGTTACCATGAAGAAGGCCAGCCAGAGCAGCCTAGCACCCTGCTGCAAGCTCAAACCTACACCCACACCATTGGTGGCCTTGGTGAGTAACGAGAAGAAAGAAAAACGCACATGGATGTATTTGACTATCTTTGTGAATGTCTGCAAATTAGACATAGAGTGACCCATGGGTTCTCACTCAGATGGATCGTTTTCGTGTCCCCTAATTTGATTCAGTGGCCAGCTGAATGCTGCATTTGCATTTCCACCCTCTGTCCTGATCAATATGAGCCGACCTCTTGTCTAACCAGCAGCCCTTCTCTAGTGTTCCTCTGATATTGTTTGAGATCAGGCTCCCAGGGTTAGAGGTCAGTAACCAGATGTCCCTCCCACCACCGGATTCCCATCCCAAGGCTTGCTTAATTATGCTCAGCCATTGTGTTCAATCCTGACCCAAACTTGCCCTGGTAAGACCCTGACTATCACCTCCCTTTAGCTGGACACTGGTGCAGCCAAACAAAGACTCCTGGGATGGACCAAAGCTGGACAAAGCCTTCAACCAGTCTTGGATTAATGACCCTGCCCCCACTGGTCATCTGGCTATGTAAATAACAGCTATCTCTAATGTTACCCTAATTATGCTGAAAAAAAAAAAGTAAAAAGTGATACAAATGTTGTTTTTAAGAGCACAGTTCATACAAAACCATGAGTGCAAAATCTGATTCAATTTCAGTAATTGTTTTAATTTTTACCCTAACTATATGAACTCAGAACTTTATAGAAATTCAGAACATTTGCTGGTTTTTACTCCATATCTTTTTGCTTCATACTCAGTTGTGGGTTCTGTCCATCTATGCTGTTACCCCAAGTTTAAGGCTATAACACAAAGACAATGGCAGTGGGAAAAATAGGTGAAAAAAGGGGAAACAAAGGGGACTACCTCCTGTCCCACAACCCTACGTCCAGATTCCTTCTGCTCTATGTTGGCCTGACTTGGTGACCCCAGTAAACCCCCACCAAGTCCCATGGGCCTAGGATCCCAGCAGCTGAACACTGCGCATGGCCCAGCCCCCAAAATGGGCCTGGACACTCTGCTGTCATTGGTCAATACCTAAAGGCTGACCTTTCACACTCGAGGCATAAAACAAATTTAAACACTGCCTAAAAAGCGTCCTGATTTAGAGAGCCTGGGGCAGTGGTGGTTTTTCAAGTTGCAACACGTTTTCAAAGGAAACGTTCAGTCTCAGACCTCAGTCTTATTTCTGGCCTCTGGTTGAATCTGTGGATCTCATCTCTTCTGTTTTTATCTGTTTTAGTTTATGCTGTTTTGGCATGTGTGTAAAAGACTATAATTTATTATATTTTATTTTAAACCCCATCATAAGATTTGGGTTTTATGGTGATGATGTACTTTTAGCTATGCCACTGGATTCACCGGGGCTCGATCTTTCTCATGCTCCTCACAAAGAACAACGCATGACAAATGAGAGGATGAGGTAACACTGTCCATTGTCCATGCACGGCCACATAAATCATGAATACTCTCACTCCCACTGCTTAGTTGTGTGTCCTTTCTCAAATTTATTTCTAAGTGGTTGCTCTGTCTCTGCTCCTTATTATGTGAGGTTTTGACATTTTTGGACAAAAGATGCTTTGCTCCATGGTTGAAGTTCAAATGTTTGTTTGTGTGTTTTAGCGAGGCATAGCTGAAAATATATTTTTTCTTTGTGTTTTTGTTTCAGACCCAAGGAGAAAGTATCATGTCAAGATTCAAGCTGTCAGTAAAGCTGGAGATGGCTATCAGACAGACCAAACAATTAGTACTCCGGGATGTGTGTGTGAGTACATGAGCCTAGAGTTGATTTAAATCCGCTTGTCTCTGAATATTGTTACTTTTTTTAATGTTGTTTTTTTGTTTTGTATCTCTCAGCGGCTAGAGACCAAGTGGCAGCAGCCCCTCCCCCTCCACATCAAGTCACTGTCTTAACCAGCAACTCATCTGCTGTGTCTCTGCGTTGGAGTCATCCTGCTTTTGCTCCTGGGAAAGCTGTCAGCTATACAGTCCGCTGTACACCTGTGGGCACACATAACGTCTCTGCTATACTCTACCAGCAAACGTGAGCCCCTCATAAAGCTGCTGTTTCTTCCCTGACAGAAACAATTTATTGTATACGTCTATAAATACAGACATGGGATGAATGTGTTAAAGATTATACCCTGTCAAAGACTTACCCTCTCCATTATATGACTGTTTTTTGCAGCACCAAGCAAAGTGTGATTGTTCAGAATTTGATTCCGAACACTCGCTATGAGTTTGTAGTGCGTCTGCATGTGGACCAGATGTCAAGCCCCTGGAGTTTGGTGGTTTACCATCAGACCCTGCCAGCAGGTAATAAATTGGACATGACTGTAGCATAAGAATTTCATGATTATGCTCCCTTCACTGCAGTTAATTATTTCCTCTAGTGTCCAGGCTCATTTCAGATTACTTTGTTTATGACCATGAATCCTGTGTCTGTAGCACCTAGTCAACCTCCTGCAGGAGTACGAGTAACTCTGATTGAGGACGACACTGCCCTGGTGTCCTGGAGGGAGCCCACAGAGACCAATGTGGTGGTCACACACTATACCATCCTATACACCTCACAGAAAGCTTGGATGGCCGGGCACTGGCAGAGGATACAAAGAGAGGGTAAGCACTCTGTTTGATTACTTAATGTGTGAACTCTTCGCCAGACAGCAGCTTTGCAAAGCTGAATTTTACCAACATGTTTAATAATAGTTATGCATTAAAGTCAAACAGGAGACGAAGTAGGAGAAAACTGGTGAATACTTATGTTTAACAAAAAGTACTGTTAAACCACAAGGAGGCTCTGACATGGTTTCAGTCGAATGCAGTTTTTCTCTATTAACGTTTTAAGATTGCTTATGTTCTGTTTTAAATTTAGCTGATTATCATTGCTTGAGCCAGTCACATAAATACTTTTACAACAAATTCTAGTTTGTGTTGTATCTCCTAAGCTCTACTTCATCTTCTGTAAGCAGGTGTTCAATAAAAATGTAAGTATTTAAGTGTAACATGATAGCTTTTCTGAACTTTTTTGTTTGTTTTTTGATTGCAGGAAGTCATACAATGGCCCTGTTAGAGAAGCTGGAGCCAGGGAGTATCTACCTGGTGAAGTTATGCGCCTCCAACAGGGTCGGTGACGGACCTTTCTCTGACACTGTGGAACTGGCTCTAAAGCATGGACATGTCCACCGCAGCAAGAACCCCAGGCACTCCGACTCCCTCCCTGATACAGCAGGTCAGCAACATAAAACACAGAAGCATCCAACATGATGGATGAGATGGATGGATGTGAAGCATTTTAGTGAACCTGTTTTCTTTTTCACATTGAGCTTTTAGTTACAGTTTTTTACTTTATACTTGAAGAAAAGTAAGTGCTGTTCTTATTCTGGATTAAAAACGTTTGAATTTAGATTAACTTTCTGTCTTTAGTGCAAAACTACATCAGTAATGCCACTCGTGTGTTGATTTAATTTAATATATTTATAGCATTTTGTAAAGGTTTATTATTTATATGACTAAAGCTGAAGGTGTGTTACAAAAGATATTCATCAATACTGTAGTAAAAGTCCAGCAGCTGATACTTGTTTGTGTATCTTGGAATGATCTAAAATAAATTTGTGATGCAACAGTTTTGCTAAACGTATTCATAGTTTTATTCTTAGAAGGAGTTAGGAGTTCCAAGCAACATTTTGACACAAACATCTTATTCAGCTGAAGCAGAAAGTGCATATTTATGAATACTAATGGTAAAGTTGATGCAGTGTTTTCTCTTTACTTACTACAGTCAATGCTAGTCAACGAAACTTTGATAAAAATTGCCACAGAATTCAGTTTTTAGGAAATTTATATATTTAAAGAATCATTATTTGGACTATTAAAAAAAATCATTAAAACTATCTCCTCATCAGTATTTGAATTGTTTCACCCATGAAAAATATTTAATCAGCAATGTGAAATGTTTTGTTTTTATCCTCCAGTGTTTTCTGATGATCTATACCACATAGACCAGAGGTCCATGACAGGGATTATGGTTGGTGTGAGCATTGCATTAACCTGTATCGCCATGTGTGCCCTGATCCTGATCAGCAAGGGCAAACCAAGGTACTAGATATCCTTGAAGGCAAAAAGAAAAATATAGCATAAGCATGTGCATAAAGTGTATCATTGTGTGACTAACAGAAAATCATCCAGTGCCAAAGGGATTGCTGTGGGAGCATCTGAAGTTTCACATTCTGGTTTGCCGCTGCCCAGTGACTACCACTCGGAGAACGTTGAGGCCCTTTTACCGATGATAAGTGACTTCATAGATGCAAAGGTGAGACAACAAGTGACTGCTGGTCTTTTAGTTTCTGTATGATTACATTCTTGTGCTTATGTTTGTTCCAGGGTGGATCTAATATTGTCATAAATAGTGCCGGTCCAGTCAGCAATAAGATCCAAAGCAGCAGGTGGCTGCTTTTCAAAAGTGACATCCAAGCTCCACCTTCAACTGATGTAAGTGGCGTCAAATTGTTCAAGTCATCCAGACTTTTGTCGGGTTTATTTTACCCTGTTTTACTTTTGTCACTGTCTCTTTAGGCTGAAACAAAAGCCAGCTTGTACGAGGCTGGTAAAACTGTTCTGAGATACGACGAACGTCTTGGCTCAGCGCCTCTGCCCCTTTCGTCCCAGGAGATGCTCTTCGGACCTCTTCACTCAAAGAAACCTCACACCGATGAGGGCAGCCAAGAAACAGGAGATTCTGGACACTACTCCAACGAAGAAAGCAACGAGGAGATGAGCAACCCCCCAACCACCCACAGTTCAATAACTGGATCTTCGGGGTCAGATAGCGGTCCTGCTGGTGCTGAGCTGAAGCACTCTTTTAAAGTGGAAACAGAAACGATGCACCTCTTCCATCGTGTCGCCTCTGATGCTTCCTGGCCTTCCAGCTCCTCAGATGACTCTCTTCCCGCCCCGCACACTCTCACAGCAGCCAGCACCTGACCTCACCGGGCCTGGGTCTGCACTTCGGCGGCCAAAGCTAAGCCACTTCTACCTCATTCACTTCCTGAGAGGAGCCCCTTCGTGACAGACAAGGGTTCAGGAAGTCAGCTGCTGCAATGGAAGAATGTGCATTCGCTTTGGACGTTCCTACCTCAGGATTTAGTATGAATGTCTTTTGAAACAGTTTTTTTTTTACAACTTTCTACCTGTTTGTGTGTTTGGCAGTATCTGTCCTAACCAAAGCTCACCCATGATGAATGTTAAAAAAAAAAAGTCCAAATGTACTGGGATGCATTTGCATTATATTTAATGGCCTTTCCACTAGAGCGAAAGATGTAGTGGATTCCCCCCTTTTTGACGGATTATCTACCTCGATGTCCCGTTCTTTAAATTCCTCCTGTTCACCACAAACTCTGCAGTATTATCTAACACTCAGGGGACAAAGTAAAACGCTTCAGTTTTGCATCTTTTAACGTCCTATAAAGTATCGCGTTCTACTTTTTTATTTTCATGGTTGAAAGAGCTTTTGTTTCACTTTTTTTTGTCTTTGTTGTGAATATGACAAGTGCATTAGATTTTGTCAAACAATTTTTTAGCTTTATCAGCTTTTTTAGTGCACTGAAATCAAAGCTTTAACATGGCCTTATAATAGAAAGGGCTTTACTATAAATGATTAGATCCAAAGACAGAAAGAAACTGTACCCAAAGAATTTTTCGATGATACAAAAGAAGCTAAAGGCAACCAAAAATATAGCCGATGAACACTGAGCGAGTGTTTGCCAAAATATTGTGTTTGCCAGAGATGTAAAAAGTTCTTCAAATGATGCTATTTCTCTGTGTAAATGTTTTTAGTGCTTTACTCTGGTGAAAGCTTTAGCACAAGCCTTGTGCTCCACCTGCCTTCTAGACCATTGCTATTATCCAAAGAGTTGTCTTCTTCCTCAGATGGGTACGGCTTATTTTATATACAGTTGATCCTTGGTACGCCGCGGTGGAAAGTATTGTCACAAGACCAAAGATCCGGTGTGTCCTGCCAGTGACGAATGATCAGAGTTATTCCTATTAATCATTTGTCACAGTTCATTATGAAATAATTTTTGTAAGGATGAAGATTTCTCTTCTTCTCTTTGGTATATTTCCTGTCCAGGGGAGACAGTGAAGGATTCTGACTATCATAATGGAAACCCTCTTAGCGAAGAGCAACATAATCATTTTTTACATCTTTGTAAAACAAATAATCCTGACCAAAGGATCCATCGTTGTTATATAGTGATTTCATTTGGTTTTCATTTACATTGCATATGTGATTTGATGATTTCCAATAAGTTTGGTTACTAGAAAGGCCTGTTCAAATTATTTTAAGCTTGAAATGTAAGAACTTCTGATTGATTTTTAGGTCACATTGGAAAAAATAAGCTCTAGATTGAACTTTTTTAGCATAATGTTGGAAACCAAAACATTTCTCAGATCGTAATGTGACATTTTCCAAAACAAATTCAATTCATCGGCGTGATGATTTCCATAAAATGTGAATTTGGAAGCCCATGGTACCATTGCTGTTACTGGTTTTTGATACTGGTGTAGAATGTAGATTTTACTGTTATTTAAGTTTTCCAATGTTTTTGATTTTGAGTACCAAAATACAATTTTTTAAACCAAAGTGAGCAACAAAATATAAGATTTTATGTGATGAAATGTTGCAACAGACTTTTTTGATACTCTCAAATATGTGACAAAGGTTAGGTAATAAAATTGTTCTTGAAAAACAAACCCTTTGTGTTGTTTCTTTATGTTGAATCAGTGATTGCCCGCCTCCAAAAGCAACAAAATTTTTGCCCATGTTTGTGTTTGTTTTAAGCATCAGCAAAATATGTCATGAAGCTGTATACAAATTTTAATAAAACACAAATTACCCATTGCATCTACAACTGATTTTCTTTTGGAGTCAGCCCCATTCAAGACAGCTGGCATAGCCCTGTAACCTTAGTATAAACACAAAAACCTAGATATGAATGTAAATGTTGGTGGGGTGGTAGCTGAGCATCATCTAACACGTACTCTGAGTGCTTACACATGGTGCAATATTTATATTTAAAACTGTTGGGCAAAAATGGTAGGAGTCAACCCTGACAAGAACACAAGCCTTTGAACCCCCCTCCCACCCCCCGTAGCCCTTCTCATAAACAGGTGAGCCCAGCCAGCTCTTCATAACCTCATGCAGGACGCGGGATAAGGAGTGCCAAAATCCAGGACCCCCGTCCAAATTGGGACAGTGGAAAACACGTATTTTTCCCCCGTTTCATTTTTAAAGATGATGGAAATTGGTGGCAGCGACGGAGGGCTTTAATCCATGTCTGTTTCACTTGGTTGTCCACTGGACGGTGGCGCAGTTGGTATAACTGCCGCCTCTCAGCTAGAAGGTCGCTTATTCAAATCCTGGCGGACGGACACGACCTTTTTGTGTGGAGTGTGAATGTTCTCTCCGTGCATACATGGGCTTTCTCCGTGTACTCCGGTTTCCTCCCACAGACCAAAAACATGCATGTTAGACTGATGGGTAACTTTAAATTGTCTCTAGGTGTGAGTGAGAGTGAATGGTTGTTTGTTTTGTTTGTCTCTATGTGTCCCTGTGATGGACTAGAGACCTGTCCAGGTTTTCCCTGTGATGGACTGGAGACCTGTCCAGGTTTTCCCTGTGATGGACTGGAGACCTGTCCAGGGTGTCCCTGTGACGGACTGGAGACCTGTCCAGGTTTTCCCTGTGATGGACTGGAGACCTGTCCAGGGTGTCCCTGTAATGGACTGGAGACCTGTCCAGGGTGTCCCTCACCTCTCGCACAGTGACTGCTGGATATGAACACCAGTGACCCCATGACCTGAAAAGGAAGAAGTCGGTAAAGATAACGGATGGATAACAGGAGCACTGCAAAGAAGAGAATTGGCACATTCACATGTGTATTGCTGTTCTGAGGTCCAGACTCCTTTGAACTACACAAATGGGTGAGTGGAGGAACCACCACAGAGAAATTCCAGCAGAAACATCTGTAATAGCCAACCAATCCTAGAAACCGCCAGAGTTCATGTCTAGTGGTGGGCACACGGTAGCTCAGAACTGCTTCCACCTTTGTGAAAACAGGAAACACTTGACCCTGTCACACTTGCTTACCCAGTACTTTACGACAGCCTTTCCAAACTCGCACTTTGCCAAATTCAGGGTCAGGGAGGCCAGGGCTAAATGGGTAATAATAATAATAATATAATAATAATCATCATTTTATTTAAAAAGCGCCTTTCAGGACACCCAAGGACACTTTACAGTAAGAAACATATCAGAAAGATTGTGTAAAAACAAACAACAAGCACAGTGCAAAGATCAACAGGAATAAACTGAAATATAAAATACATAAAGAATATAAAATACATACAGCAAAGTTAAGGATAAGCGAGTCTAAAGAGATGTGTTTTCAGAGCAGACTTGAATAGAGACAGAGAGGTGGTGTTTCTTAAGTCAGGGGGTAGAGAGTTCCAGGGATGAGGGGCAGAGCAGGTGAAGGCCCTGCTGCCCATGGTGGAGAGGCGGGCAGAGGGTACATGGAGGTGTAGTGAAGAGAAGGATCTGAGGGAGTGAGAGAGGATGAAGATGTGTAGGTCAGATAGATACGGAGGGGCAAGGTTGTGGATAGCTTTGAAAGTGAGAAGAATTTTGAAGACGATTTGTAATTTAACTGGGAGCCAGTGGAGCTGCTGCAGGACTGGAGTGATGTGGTTATAGGAGGAGGTTTGAGTGATGACACAGGCAGCTGAGTTTTGGACCATTTGCAGCATCTGAAAAGATTTGTTGGGGAGGCCATAAAGAATGAAGTTGCAGTAGTCAATCCAGGAAGTCACAAGACTGTGCACAAGGATGGCTGTGGAGTGGGGTGTGAGAGAAGGACGGAGACGGTTAATATTTCGGAGATGGAAAAAGGCAGACCGAGTGACGTTGTTGATGTGTGAAGTGAAGAAGAGAGTGGTGTCGAGGATGACACCAAGACTCTTGACCTCAGGCGAGGGGGATAGCAGAGAGTTGTTAAAGGGGATGAGAAGATGTTCTGATTTTGAAATAGTTTTTGGTACCAACAAAAATGATTTCTGTTTTGTTACTGTTTAGTTGAAGGAAATTGTTAGAAAACCAGTGATTTAGCTCATTGAGACAGTCGGTGAGGATGGAGGGTGGGTGGGTGGAGTTTGGGTTTGTTGGTAGAGCTGTGTGTCATCAGCATAACAGTGGAAATGGACACCAAATTTGTGGAAGATGTGACCTAGAGGAAGGAAGTAAATGATGAAGGGGAGGTGTCCAAGGACAGAGCCTTGGGGGACACCCGTGGAGATGAGGGAAGACTGGGAACGAAAGGATTTAAGCTGAATGATTTGAGTGCAGTCATAGAGATAAGATTTGAACCATTCTAATGGAGTATCTGAGATGCCAGTGGAGGTTAGTCTGTTGAGGAGGATAGAATGACAGATTGTGTCGAAGGTAGAACTTAGATCCAGTAAAATGAGGATAGACAGAAGAGCAGAGTCAGCAGCAAGAAGAAGGTCATTAGTTATTTTTATTAGAGCTGTTTCGGTGCTATGGTGGGGGTGAAAACCAGATTGAAACTCTTCATAAATGTTATTGTTGGATAGGTGAGAGTGAAGTTGACTAGCAATGACTTTTTCAAGAACCTTGGAAATAAAGGGCAGATTAGAGATTGGATGAAGATTACTGAAGTTGGTAAAGTCAAGACCTGGTTTCTTGATGATAGGGGTGATGGCAGCAGATTTGAAAGCTGTGGGAACAATGCCAGAGGTTAGGGAGGAGTGGATGATGTTAGTGATGATGGGGAGCAGAGACGGGAGACAGGATTTAACAAGAACTGTGGGAAATGGATCGAGCTGACAGGATGAGGACTTAGACTTGCTGATAATGTCAGCGATGTCATCAGCAGAGGGGAGGGAGAAGACAGAGAAGGGGAGGGGGAGGGGAGTTCATCATACAAAGTAGATGCTGGGGGCATTTTTAGGTCCAAGGTGTTTCTGAATTGAAAGAATCTTTTCGTTGAAATAGGACATCAGAGAGTTGCAAAATTCTGTGGAAACCATGTGAGAGGGTAACGAGTTAGGAGATGAGACTGAACGGTTAAAGAGAGAGAACAAAGTCTTTGAACTGCCAACATTGGAACTGATGATGTCAGAGAAGTAGCTGGATTTGACTTGAGAAATACTGTCCTTATACTGGATGACGTGGTTCGCACAGAGTTCCTTGTGAATTGTGAGACCGGATTTCTAATAGAGTCGTTCCAACCTCCGACCTTTGGATTTCAGAGAACGGAGTTCTGGAGTGAACCAAGGTGCAGAGTTGGAGAAGAGACAGACCGGGTTTTCAGAGGAGCGACAGAGTTAAGGATGTTGGTGAGGCTGTTATTGTAGAATGTGACAAGGTCATCTGGGTTAAAAGAATTGAAGGTGAAGATGGTATTATTAATATGAGACGAAAGAATGTCATGGTTGATATTCTTAATATTACGGAAGGAAAGAGTGCGTTGAGGTTCTCGGAAGAAAATTAAACACAATAGTTAGTTTATTAACGTGGTCAACTCAACATATTGAACTCATCACAATATCATCCAAGTAGACGTTACAGTTTGGTACGACTCCCAACATAGAGCTCATTATCTGCTGAAAGTTGTGTTGCACTTTCCAAATACCATCACATTATACTACAAAAAATTATCTGGGGTAACAAAAGCTGAAATCTCAGAGGCCATGGATGTCAGAGGAACCTGCCAGTAGCTTTTCAATTTTGTTATATATTCAGCTTGTCCAGTGTTGTCAATGCAGTCTTCTATAAGGGGTAGTGGAAACGAGTCAGGTTCTGTGACTGCATTCACTTTTATTCAACCATTATGTTAATTGTTAGTCAGCAGCCGGTGACTGAATTAGAAATTAGAAACATCTTATCTAAAAATTATGCAGAAAAACTGGTTCATGCATTTCTCACGTCCAGACTGGACAATTGCAATGGTTTATTATCTGGGTGTCCAAATACTTCTTTAAAAAGTCTTCAGTTGATCCAAAATGCTGCTGCCAGAGTCTTAACTGGAGTTAGTGGGAGATATCATATTTCTTCAGTTTTAGCTTCTCTCCATTGGCTCCCTGTCAAATCCAGAAGAGTTCAAAATCTTACTTCTAACCTACAAAGCTCTCAACAACCTAGCTCCATCTTATATTACAGATCTTATTGTTCCATATTTTCCTAACAGAGCACTTCGCTCTCAGACTGCAGGTTTACTCGCGGTTCCTAAAGTTTCCAAAACCAGAATGTGAGGAAGAGCTTTCAGTTATCAGGCTCCTCTCTTGTAGAACCAACTTCCAGTTTTTGTCCGTGAGGCTGACACATTGTCCAGTTTTAAGACTTTCCTTTTTGATAAATCCTATAGTTAGTTTCGGCTTGGGTTTCCTGAGCTGTCCCTTGGTTATGCTGCTATAGACGTAGACTGCTGGAGGACAAACTGACCACACTTTTCACTCTGCTACTGTCTTTACTTACTCTGCTCAACCTGTTTTGTATTTGTAATTATTTTTTCTATCCTTAACATGTTTTTTTGTCTTTCAGGTACATCTGGACCTGTCATTCTATGTTCGTCTGTCTCTCCTTTCTGTCCTCTCAACCAGCCAGTCAAAGCAGATGGTCACTTGTCCTGAGCCTGGTTCTGCTGGAGGTTTCTTCCTTTTAAAAGGGAGTTTTTTCTTTCCACTGTTGCCACTGTGCTTGCTCAGGATGAGAGACTGTGATGAAGTGAAGATTCAACGGGTCTGCCGGTTTTCTTATATAGAGAACTTTACTAATTGACTTTTCTATGTATGTGAATGTTCCTGTAAAGTGCCCTGAGACAACTTTGTTGTGATTTGGTGCTATATAAATAAACTGAATTGATTGTTAGGGTTTGCTGACAAATGTTGTTAAGAGGTCTGGGAGGCCCAGAAGTGAAAACTTGAAGAACATTGCTCCTACTTTTATAGGAGACCACATTTATGTGACACAAACATCAGATGAAGAGATGGAAAAATGTGAGTCTTCATCTGATCACATGTATCAGCCAGGAACTGATCACTGACCCACTGACAGAGACTGCTTATGAGAATGTGCAGCATCGGAGGTCATTCCCAGGTCCACCTGCTCCTGCTGGTCACTGAACTGGACCATACCAGGCACGGACCCCACTTGAAAATGGGTCCAGTGTATATGGAGGCCAACCTGCGTTAACCAGACATGTTATCAGATCCTCCCAGCTGCAGCAAACTGGAAGAAATGGAGATGTAAATTTTGGAAGCTGTCAGTTTCAGCCAATGAGAGGAGACAGCGTTGAATATAACAAGTTGGACCAGAAGAAACAAAGAGACTGAAGAGAAGAATCACCATGCCTCTGTGTGCTTAAAGTGCATATTTTCCTTTTTTCACAATCAGAGAAAAGAGGTGTCTGTAACTCTATCCTTTATGCATAATCATATGACATGATGTCCTCTTTGAGACATGAAGTAGAAGAAGTATGTATGTTGTGTATGCATAATTAGGAGTTGATGATAAAAATCTTATGCACAACAGAGGTGGGGCTTTTTCTGGGGATCTTTATGAGGTTCTTGGGGCTTTTTGCTTTTGGGCTTGGACAGTAGATTACCTCCTGTTTCCCTTGGGTCATTTTGACCTAAAGGTCCAAATGTGACACCACCTGTCTGCTGCTAAACGCCACCTGAGGGGGAGTGTGAGGATCTGGGACCTGCAGTGTCTGGACGTTCCTCTGGCTAACCTATCGACAAGTCGACGGCTTCCTAACCTCTTCCCACTGAGGCAGAGCACACTTTAAAATTCATCCAGAGAGCCTGCGAGGATCACACACTGACTCTCATCTGAGTCCAGTAGGTGGACGATGGACCTGGAACAGGCTGGATCAACAACAGGAACAATTACTGGTCGACTTTTGATCAATAGTTGACATTGGCCAAAGGAGTCTGAGGTTGTGGCTTCTCGCAGTTATTGTGTTCTGTTTATTAAATAAATCAATGTTTTTTTATGTAAAAAATAAAAGGCCAAAGTATTTATTTTTCTGAAATGTAATTTCAGAGTGTTTTGGGTCTACATCACTGGTGATGAACAGGAACCCTGTGACAGCTCAGACATTTGCCTCTCTGGGTCAGGTGGGCCTCAGACAGATCCTAAGTGTGCCACAGTTTGTAGCATCATTGCTCTCTGTCTGCTGTGTCCTACCAGATATGGTCGAAGCCACAGATCATCATATCTTCCTGTCTTTCCATTTTTCTTTGGTCGGCCCTATGCTCTTGTTCTCTCAGCTACCTCTCTAAGTGAAGCTGCTTTGGTGTCTGATCATCATCTTTTCACATACATGGCACAGCCAACAGAGACGACCAGTCCTCACTATGGTTCCAGTGATTGTGTAGTTTCCTCCATGGTTATGTGCTGCCACCTCTTGTTTAGAATGAGGAGCAGAGAAGGCTGGCGGAACATTTCTAGTATGTGATGTTTGACCAGGGCTGGATCTGGGCACTTGATGTGCATGACTTCAGTTTTGGGCTTGTTTATTGTCAGGTCCCAGTCTTTGCAGGACAAACACATAGAACAGGTACATTCACACATCAACTATGTAACCATACACTGTGTACTTATACACACCTATGTAAGTACAGTAGTCCATCGCTACTTCTCGGTTTGACTTTCGCAGATTCACTGTTTTCACAAGTTTTACCCGTAAGATTGTACACGACACACAATTGGCTGATTGATGGAAGGTGACCAACCAGAGCATTGTGCTCTGTATCCCAGGAGCAGATGGGTTCAGTAACCGTAGCATCAGTCTGTCTGCTCTCTTTCTCTGTGCTCTTAGAGCGTTCAGAGAGTTTAGAACATTGTTAAGAACATTGCAAGAGTGTGGGAAGGATTGATAAAGCCTTTACACACACACACACACACACATATATATATATATATATATATATATATATATATATATATATATACTAAAATAAATTTAACGTCCCGCAAATTTTCACTTATAGCGGGGGTGTCTGGAACGTAACCCGTGCGATAAGAGACTACTATATAAATGTTCACATTCACACACAACATATTCTTGCTCACTTACATGAGTATACACCAGGTCTATTCAACTGGTGGCCCGCGGGCCATTTCAGGGTCCGTGTGTGACTTCAATCCGGCCCACCAATGACCTGATAATATTTATTTTTGGTTCTGGGATTGGCTTTTGGGTTCTGTTTATTGCATTTATGATTCAATGCAATAAAATAAACAAATGTAAAACGTAAAATATAATTGTAATACTTGGTTTATTTACATTATGACTTTAATTGCTGGATGTCTGACCTCTGAGCTGCTGGCTTTCAGTAACTGTGGCCCCCTGAGCATTTTTGTTGAATAGACCTATACATACATATATATTGTTTGTAAAAAATAAATGAAACAGTAAATGTCCCAGTTTCTTCATTCCATCTTGATGACATTTAATTATTTTTTAATCTCTGAGCTGAAAATGTCCCCACTCCCAGATTTAATTTCAGAAATCTGGTCCCCTTACTGTTGGTTATTTTGTGACTGACCCTAACCAATTCAAGATGGCCGCCACAGCTAACTGATATGATCAAACTTAAAAACAGCTCTAACTCAGTTCCTTCTTTAATCACCAATCCTCAATCTAGTTCTTATGTTTTTTGGTGAAAATGATTTTGTAAACATAACTCAAACCTTTGAATGGTGGACGTAATTAAAGAATGAACCACCAGGGGGCGGTCGGTCTTCAGCGTGAGATTTGTCTGATATCACGAGAAGAAGAAGTTCGTCAGTTTCCGGTCCGTCCTTTTTTACATGAGCTGCCACACGCAGCGTTTGTTCCGCGAAGATGCGCATCGAAAAGTGTTATTACTGCTCGGGACCGGTCTACCCCGGACACGGAATGATGTTTGTACGGAACGACTGTAAGGTATGGAGCTGTTTTCCGGCTGTGCTTTTAGCATAAGCTCATGTTTAAACGTTCGTAGCTGGTTGCTAATGCTAGCTTACCGTAACGTGCCTGTAACGTGCTACAAACAGACCGTGAGAGAAAACGGACGGATTATCGATGATGAAATGGCAAACAGACGAGAATTAAATAATTGTAAACTTGTTTGGCTATTTGAGAACTGTCGTCCTCATATAATATTTTTACAGTTTTATCTGGTCTAAACTTCGGGCCTTTTTTCTTAATTTATGGAGTAATGGCGCCCTCTGTTGTTGGCACGTGGGACTTGTTATAAAATCAAAACAAACCGAACAATAAACAAACTTTGACTTTGAGAGGTTTTTACTTGTTGTTTACCAAACATTTGCTGATGTTTATAAACAAGGTAGTTATTTTTTTGTGGTCAAATGCGCAAGTCTTTTAAAGAGAAAAAGTTCTTCACAATTTAAGATTTCTAACATTTAGTTTTATCTCAATAATTGGTTGAATCTGCATTTTTTAAAAATATTTTACTCTAAAATGGCAAGTCAAGATAAGCTGTTTTAGCTACCATTTATTAACAGGTTTTTGGCTTTTTGTTTTGATAATTTATGTATGAAAACATAAAATACCTATTTTATTTGTTTTGGTCTCCAACTACAAAATAGTTTTACTGTATACTACAATTTTTATGCCACTAAAATTGTAAAAAAAAAAAAAAGCACAATACAGTTCAAATTTTGAACATGTTAAGACAGTTTTTTTTAATCATGTGGTGAAGTAGTATTTAAAAATAGTTGCTCATATTTTTTGTGCAGATACTTGAGCAAAATAGTAATCATCAACTATGACAGTATATATTGTGCGTGCATACAATTCAGATAACATCTCAAATGTTATTAATTTCAGTGTAATATATTTGGACCTGTTAAAGACAGTTTAAACAACGTACTTAAATACAGCTAAAGTAAAACCTTTTATCCAGATTTACACTGTAAAAATTATTAATAATAATTTTGATTTAAGTGTGTAGTGCTGTCCTGCCCATTTTGTCCAATGTTTATATTTAAATCTCAATTTCTTTGTTTGTTGTGTGCAAATATCAGCTGACATATTATTTGACCATACAAAAAAAAAGTCTAAACATGAACAGTTTTGACACAATTAAATATCTTTTTAGTTCCAGTTATTTCTGATATGTGCAACATCCATGTGAACTTGCATACCAATTTTTCCATCTAAATCTGATCATCATTTGTCAGATTTTTATTTATTTTCTTATTGTTAGACATTTAGGTTCTGCAAATCAAAATGCCACCGGGGATTTAAGAAGAAGCGAAACCCAAGAAAGATCAGATGGACCAAAGCTTTCAGAAAAGCATCTGGCAAAGAGCTAACGGTGGTAAGCTTACCTTTGCTTTTGTTTTTCTTTTGCTCCCTGACTAAATAAAATTGTGTTTGTGTTTTTGAACCAACAAAAACTTTTGTCTTTTTAGGACAACTCGTTGGAGTTTGAAAAACGCAGAAATATTCCCGTGAAATATAACAGGGAGATCTGGGACAAGACAGGTAATGTCCGAATCGACATTTTTGAAAAACGCTGCACTTTTTATCTGCGCACATATTTATGTTTCACCTTTTACCACTTTTACAGTGGAGGCAATGAAACGTGTAGAGGAAATAAAACAAAAACGACAGGCAAGATTTATCATGAACAGGTAAGTGCTACATTTGTCTGGAAGTATTTTTCTCCCTTAAAGTTGCTGCATTTGTGAGATTTGACAGAAACAACTTTGATTTGTAAGATGAAAATATGTTTTATTTTGCTCTGTGTAGATTAAAGAAGGGCAAACAGTTGGAGAAAGAGGAGGCCATAAACGAAGTGAAGAAAAATATTCACCTTATCAAAGCTCCACACGCAGGTAAAGCATTATCATTCATATTCGTTGGCCCAACTTTATGCAGAGAATTTACCGTAATTGTCGGACAACAGAAAGAACCTGTGTCAAAACTGTACTTATTAAATATAAGATGAATCATAATTTTGTAGATAAATAAGACGCCCTGGCCTTTATGAAGCTGCTTGTATCCACTGTTCATTATATGAATGTGTGCCCGACTCCATCAGTGCTGTTTTCTTGTTGTAGTACAAGAATCTCCACTTGATGGTGCTCACAGACTAGAGCTTGCTTTTAACACACACACTTCATGAAGCTTCTCTGTCTGACTCATGGTTAGATCCATTAAACCTTCAAAATGAACACAAGAACTATCTAAGCATAATCACTGGACAGAACTGCCAAAGCCCTACTTAACTGAAATTATTTAAAAATTATATACTGGGAAATATTACCCAGAAATCTTAACGATGTCATGTGACCGGAAGTCAAATGGAACCCGTAAAATGTGGTAAATATTAATTAAATTACCAGTAGTACCATTGAGTTTTATTGTTAAACAGTATTGTATTAGCTGCTGTTTTTAAATGCACTTTCTAAATTATCTTAAATAAATTGACGGGATTTCTCCTCAGCGCTAATATGAGCAGGAGCGGGAGTAAGAGGGAGCAGCCCCCTCCACCGCTCAGTTTCATGCATGAGATGAGCTTAAATGAGATCCTGGTATTTAAACTCACATTTACCGTTCACAGAAAGAATTAAAAAACTTTAATTAAAACATGTACAGACTTGACTGCTTAGATGACTTCCGCTCAGCGGAGCCTGCGTCGTGACCCAGGGGAGTGGGAACAGCCTTTAACACGGCTAAAAACAAAAAATAAATAAATAAAAAGGTACAGCTAGTCGACCAAAAGTCACTCATCGCTCTGTTCTTCGTCCTCCTGTGCACTGAAACCATGAAAGTCCTCTTCAGTGCAGAGCTAACGTGCGGCAGCTCTATTTCTTTCTGATAGCCAGATCAATAGCTTTTAATTTGAAAGCTGCATCATGAGAAATCCTCTGTGCGTTTTCCATTATTGATGAATGAACAAAGTCTGTGCACGAGGCGTAAAATACAGTAACTGATCTGAAGAATTTAGTTTTTTTAAACCTTTGCTTACTGTAAACAGGAAGCATCATTAATGCACGTGTGTCTTGGACACAATCTCATTGGTCGTTAAGGTTAGACTTCTGGTCACATGATGACAGAGTGGGTGGAGTTATGGTTGGGTCTTTAAAACTGAGCTAAACACCTTGTACATGTGATTTCCTGAGGGCATTCTCTTTGTGTCACAACTATTTTATTTATTTTAAATTAATAAACACACAGAACTACAGAACACTACAAAATAGAAAGCTGTATACAAACACTCGTGAAGGGTGTCATAACTAGAGTTTACAAGCTGGGGGGGGGTTACAAAATGATGAAAATTGAGAAATACATATATAAAAACATTAAATGAAAGAAAAGAAACAAAAAGGAGCAAGACAATATGAGAAACTTAAATTGTGTCACAAACATCTGCCCCCACGAGGAGCAGAGTGCTGGGAGCCACTGTCAAAGGAAAATGTTAGTCAGTGGCAGGAAGTTACAGAGAGACGGCAGGAAGTCTTACAAAATAAAATATAAATTGTGAAAAAAAAAAGCATAAATAAAACGCTCCTGCATGTAAACCGCAGGGTACAAAGAGTGAGACAAAAGTTGCGGCTTGTACAACGGCACTTACGGTAATTTGGTCACACCTCCCTCAGCGGATGTGACTAAAGTTGGACAACATGCAGCATTCAGTCCAAGTGAACATTTATTCGCGTGACAAGATGATGTATGCTTTTCTGTTTGAACAGTATTGACTGTTTTGTGATTGATGTTTTGTTTTATCAAAAGGAAAGTGACATATTAGAAAATGACACAATGAGCTCACTTATGGCGATCCTGTGAAGCTTACTTAACTTTTTCTTTGTTTTTGCAGGAAAAGCCAAACAAATGGAAGACAAAATGGTGCAGCGACTACAGGAAGATATGGAAATGGGAGATGATGATTAATTTGAAGCTCAAGTGTCATTTTGCACTTCAGTGCACTTGTATTATTAGATTTATTTGGAGTTAAAATTTCAAGATAACAAACAATGGACACCTCTCTGTCCTCAGCATGAAATGACTGCAGTTGTCTCCAGTGACCGTATAAAGCCCTTTCACCCAGACTCATTCTTTTCTGTTTTTTAGACTGGTTGCCCAGTCTAAAAAATAGATTTACTCTTCTCTTTGATAAGTTTTTGCAGTAATGTGCAGAATATGTCAAAATGTTTCCAACAATAAATTAAAGACTCATTTAGAGGAACATGTTCATGTTTTGGGATATTTTTGGAAATAGAAAAGACATCAGGCCTGTTTTATTTTAAATTCGCATCAAATGTTTCAAATAAACTCCTTAAATCAGTGTGGCTGTTGTTGGTATAAACTATAAAGAACATTTTGGAAAAGGAAAGTTCACTGTCAAACCTTTTCATAGACATTCTTATATTTTTTAGCAGATTCTAAACCACCTTAATAAAAGCTATCAACTTATCAATGTTATGTTTACACAACTAATATTTGTTAATGAAAGTTTGTTTAAACAAAGAAAAATGGTTAATACAACTGGGACAAAACAACTATTCAAATGAGTAGTTCTGTGAGGATGTTCTTGTTTAGGAATGAAATTTTCTACATGGGACTCGTACAGTTTGCCACATTCACTAAAATGTTCACTGGTCAAAAAAAAAAGTCGCCACTTGGATTTAACTAAGAATATGGGTACGAGCCTCCTGTTGGATAATTACTGCATGGATGATTATCATGGTAACAAGTTATTTAACCTCAACTGGTGCAATGGGTTGCTTCTCGTTTCTTAAACAACCATGTTGAAAGACACATGACGTGGTCATGGAAAAGATGTCAGTCTGTTGAGAAGAGTCAAATCATTGGCATCAAGCAGAGAAAACATCTAAGGAGCTTGAAGAAACTACTAAGATTGTGTTAAGAACTGTCCAACACATTATTAAAAACTGGAAGGATAGTGAGGACCCATCGTCTTTGAGGAAGAAATGTCTACTGTACAAGCCTGTGGGGGAAGTGCTATGATGTGGGCTTGCTGCAGTTGGTCAGGTCTAGGTTCACCAGTATGTGCTCAAAGAATGAGGTCCACTGAATGACCAGGTTATTCCATCAGTGGATTTTTTTTCTTCCCTGATGGCACGGGCATGTTCCAAGATGACAATACCAGGATTCATCAGGCTCGAAATGTGAAAGAGTGGTTCTGGGAGCATGAGGCATCATTTTCACACATGGACTGGCCACCACAGAGTCCAGACCTTAACCCCGTTGAGAATCTTGGGGATGTGTTGGAGAAGGCTTTGCCCAGTGGTCAGAGTTTGCTATTACGATCTTGGTGAAAAATGAATGCAACACTGGATGGAAGTAGATCTTGTGACATTGCAGAAGTTTATTGAAACGACAGTGAATGCTGCTGTGATCAAAGCTAAAGACGGTCCAACGAAGCGTTAGTGTGTGACCTTTTATTTTGGCCAGGCAGTGTATTATCAATAAGAATAAAAATTAAACAAAACTAAAGCCATTTATGGAAAAAATATATACAATTTTTGGCAGGAATAACTTAGGCAAATTGTGTCTGCGTCATGGTAAGTGAACCGGAGGTCAAATAATTGAATTGGTAACACAAATTAGCAATATTATAGATCTGTACCATTTATACACTGGTGTGTGAGGTGGGTGGGGTCTTTACATCAAGGATTCTCCCTCAGCCAACATTTTTACCATGTGTGGGAGTGAATGTTACGATTCAAACATGTCCGTTGCATTCACTAATGTATTAAATGAGCTTTGCTACGTAGATTGTACAGTGTCTTAAGGTTAAGGTTTCTTTATTTGTCATGGAACAAAATTGTACACAGGGTCCCAGTTACATCCAACAAAAGTATAAATTATAAATAAAAACTCATAAGAGCTAAGGTATGACAAAGAAATACACTAAACTAAGAATACACTAAGCACTAGTAGTACAAAACAATACGCTGAACAACAACACAAAACAGAATATGTGAGTAGATGAGTATGAATGAACACAGCAGCAGGAAATACATCATAGCAGCAAATATCAACAATCAAGTGGTATTTTTTCACATGATTCATGAGTGGGATTCAACAGCTTCAGGGTAGAAGCTGTTCCTCAGTCTAGTGGTTCTACACTTAATGCTCCTCAACCTTCTGCCTGAGGGGAGCAGGTCAAAAAGTGGGCTGCATGAGTGGGGTCCTTCATGATGCAGGTGGTTCTCTTCCTGCATCTGGAGGTGTAGATGTCTGTGATGGTGGGGAGACTGACTCCAACAGACTTCTGTGCAGCCTTCACCACTCTCTGCAAAGCTTTTCTTTCTGCAGCTGTGCAGCCTCCATGCCACATGTTGATGCTGGAGCACAGGATGCTCTCCACCAGTGGCGGATTCACCGTCGGGCACGACGGGACAATTCCCGGTGGCCTGGTTGCCGAGGAACGGGACTAAAGGCTCGGTTCGGGTCGCACGGACTTTATTATTTTAAATAAACAATTCACTTTTGCCTGGGCTCAGGTCTCACGCTGCACTGCAGCGACGGAGAAAGCCTGGCACATCCCCCGGCCGGGCCGGCCCCCTCCCTTCCTTTTCTGTGTGTCACTCACAGAGCAGAGACACACACACACACATTGCGCCCGCCCCCCTCCCCGCCCTAGGACTCGCGCTCCCGACGGTGTTGGCGCGCGGTGCGTGCATCTCTGAGTTGTAGAATGGAGCAACAGAGACAGCCAAAGAAGAGGAAAGGTGGAGCAGAGAGAGAGAGGATAAAAAAGAGAGAAGCTCTGGCCGCGGATGCTGCTAAGTGCTATAAATTAATGTTTGTTCGTAATGGAGCAGGTAAGAGAAACACTTGTGTTGAAAAAATTGAACTCTGGCACAGTTTATCAGCACAGCTTAATATCCACATGCTAGCTTCACTTTGAGGGACCTAAGTGGGCCAAAACTGACTTAATATAACAAATGTTTTTAAGTTTTTACAAAGAATATTGCAAATTTTATAATATGGGTTAGGATCTGAAAAAAGTTTAATGTTGAAATGTCTAGGAATTCAGATTTTTTTGTATCTAAAAAAGTTAAGTCAGGTCCTCTGGACAAATAAAAAAAAAACTTGTTGAAACTTTTGTCTTTAATCCAAAAAACTAAGTTCAGTCTGAGGAGTTGCAACAAGCTCAGTTTCAAATAGCCTCTTCTCATAGTGGATCAACCAGTTTGTTGTTAACATCCAGAACTAGCTGTTAACATAAGGAAGACCTGCAGCCTAACAACCCCTAACAATGGTTTCTTTTCACAAAGATGGCTTCCTTTACTCCTCTCTCAAACCATAGTTCCTCTCTATCAAGGATGAGCACATCTTCATCCCTGAAAGTGACTGCTGGCCTGCAGATGAGTGTAAAC